TAATAAGCAGAAAAAAAGAGTAAATAGTGAGAGTGTGAGTTAATGCTGTGTAGAGATTGTTAATGAAATGATAGTTTAATGTGTAATCTTTCTAAGAATGCGAAGACATCGCCGCAAGGGAATGAAGTATAAGTTGTTGGAGGGAGTAATTGTTTGTTTTTGTTTGAAGTGGGTATGAATAATACAGTGAGGGAAAAAAGTATTTGATCCCCTGCTGATTTTGTACGTTTGCCCACTGACAAAGAAATGATCAGTCTATAATTTTAATGGTAGTTTCATTTGAACAGTGAGAGACAGAATAACAGCAACAAAATCCAGAAAACGCATGTCAAAAATGTTATAAATTGATTTGCATTTTAATGAGGGAAATAAGTATTTGACCACCTCTCAATCAGAAAGATTTCTGGCTCCCAGGTGTCTTTTATACAGGTAACGAGCTGAGATTAGGAGCACACTCTTAAAGGGAGTGCTCCTAATCTCAGCTTGTTACCTGTATAAAAGACACCTGTTCACAGAAGCAATCAATCAGATTCCAAACTCTCCACTATGGCCAAGACCAAAGAGCTCTCCAAGGATGTCAGGGACAAGATTGTAGACCTACACTAGGCTGGAATGGGCTACAAGACCATCGCCAAGCACCTTGGTGAGAAGGTGACAACAGTTGGTGCGATTATTCGCAAATGGAAGAAAAACAAAAGAACTGTCAATCTCCCTCGGCCTGGGGCTCCATGCAAGATCTCACCTCGTGGAGTTACAATGATCATGAGAACGGTGAGGAATCAGCCCAGAACTACACGGAAGGATCTTGTCAATGATCTCAAGGCAGCTGGGACCATAGTCACCAAGAAAACAGTTGGTAACACACTACGCCGTGAAGGACTGAAATCCTGCAGCGCCCGCAAGGTCCCCTTGCTCAAGAAAGCACATATACATGCCCGTCTGAAGTTTGCCAATGAACATCTGAATGATTCAGAGGACAACTGGGTGAAAGTATTATGGTCAGATGAGACCAAAATTGAGCTCTTTGGCATCAACTCAACTCACCGTGTTTGGAGGAGGAGGAATGCTGCCTATGACCGCAAGAACACCATCCCCACTATCAAACATGGAAGTAGAAACATTATGCTTCGGGGGTGTTTTTTTTTCAAGGGGACAGGACAACTTCACCGCATCAAAGGGACGATGGACGGGGCCATGTACCGTCAAATCTTGGGTGAGAACCTCCTTCCCTCAGCCAGGGCATTGAAAATGTGTCATGGATGGGTATTCCAGCATGACAATGACCCAAAACACATGGCCAAGGCAACAAAGGAGTAGCTCAAGAAGAAGCACATTAAGGTCCTGGAGTGGCCTAGCCAGTCTCCAGACCTTAATCCCATAGAAAATCTGTGGAGAGAGCTGAAGGTTCGAGTTGCCAAACGTCAGCCTCAAACCCTTAATGACTTGGAGGAGATCTGCAAAGAGGAGTGGGACAAAATCCCTCCTGAGATGTGTGCAAACCTGGTGGCCAACTACAAGAAACGTCTGACCTCTGTGATTGCCAACAAGGGTTTTGCCACCAAGTACTAAGTCATGTTTTGCAGAGGGGTCAAATACTTATTTCCCTCATTAAAATGCAAATCAATTTATAACATTTTTGACGTGCGTTTTTCTGTATTTTTGTTGTTGTTATTCTGTCTCTCACTGTTCAAATAAACCTACCATTAAAATTATAGACTGATCATTTCTTTGTCAGTGGGCAAACGTACAAAATCAGCAGGGGATCAAATACTTTTTTCCCTCACTGTAGTCGTAGCTGTTGTAAAGCGTCTATGCTGTGTATAAGGAGCTTGGTAGTGCTGGTATGTAGACGTAGATATTTTAGAATAGTACATGTTTTTTAAAATAAATATTGCAGTGTGTGTTAGAGATGAGTGGTGCACATGCAGCAGAGAGGATAGTAAGGAGCTGGAAGTGGATGAATTTGGCAGCAAAAACGCAGGCCTGATAAGTGGAAAGGATAACGTGGTAAATATGAGAACGATAGCAGTGCAATGCAGACATGTTATGGTTAGTGCATGGAATTGTTGTATATGAAATGTCATAATGTGTTTGCGTGTGGGGCAAACCGGAACTAGTGGGAATGCCCCAGGCTTTAACACATGGCAAGAGAAAGAGAGGGGGGGTGGTGAGGAGTGCAGGGGTTGGACTCAGCTGCGGGGGGTTGGAATGTGCAGGTGTTACAGGTGTTGAAGGTGAACGGGTAAGCTACACACTAACTCACCTGTGAATACACATGGAAAGTTTGGGGTTTGTAGGTTTCATGGTGTTGGCGTAATTTTGTTCCCAAAAAAACATACACATGCGCAAAGTCTGCTTTATATAGGTTCATACTATTTTTTTTATTAGAATATTTTTTCTATACTGGTTCTCAATGTTTATTTCAAGTGTTTAGTTTTTAATTTACTTGGAATACAGTACAGTACTTAATTCAATTGTGATGTATTTTTAGTTGCCGTTTACATAACCCCATTATTTAGGTAAGGCTTAAGTATTGAATATCGCACTTTTATCTTTCGTGCGGCACTTTCCAAGAACGTAACAGCGATATTGAAGGTGCTGCTGTATTTTCTGTCGATTGACTACAGCAGAGTACGGATTTTCAGCAGAAACTAGATCTATGCTTTCTTGATGTGCGCCTTTGGGTTGTTCTTAGTTTTCAATGTCTCTGCCTCTGCTCACATTCGTTGAGGATTTTTATGATTTTTGGCAGGCCCATCTAAAGCTGCGTGACCAGGAGTCGGAGCCATTTCTTGTTCAACTTGGCTTGTGACAGAAATTCACTCTGGCCCCTTGCATTACATTATGTAGCATCGTCAATAATTATGTAGTTTGAGAAGCTCACAATGGCCATATAAATTTATTGCATTTGTTACAGTTACAATTATATGCTAATTGATGCCTGGTTGTAGTTAAGGGATCGTTACCTGCTGGTCAACCATGTTGCATCTGCTGATGATCTGGTAATGGCTACTCAATGAGATGAAGTTAGGGAATCTTGTTCTCTGCCTGGATAATTCCATCATGAAATGGGGCCTTGCATATGTTCCACAAACATAAATCACCTGCCTGGGAATATCAAGTCCTAAAACATTGCACCTGCTCAACTCTCCATGAGTAATCTGGCAGTTCTACAAGTGGTGGAGGCGCTCCCATACCTGGTTAATGTATTCACGACCAGCTCTGGTTTGGCAACCAAAGTTTCACTTCAAATTAGTTGAGCAGAATTCTCTCATTAGATTGTTTAACATTGTGTGGAAGCTGCCTGGACTTTTCTCCATACAAATCTGTGAGTGTCCATCGCCAAGGTCTCGTCGGTCTGAGACCATCCCTTTCCCTGCCGTACTGGCATCGCACCTGCCCCTTACCCTTTGTGCTGCGAATTGTGGGCGCACAGGATGATCCCACCTAGCCATTTCAGACTGGGCCCGACCGGGTTACCTGGGTCCCCCGGCCACGAGGGGCTTTTGGCGAACACAATCCCCGGGCTTGGCTCCAGGAGTGATATCAATATAGAATATATGTAAGGATGCCCCCCAATAGACTCCCTCTGGAATTTTACCAGGCACCTGCCACTGGGCAAAGACCCCGGGGCTGGCCCAGGACACTCTGGCGGGACTATGTAACTCGGCTGACCTGGGAATGCTTGGGAATTCCCCACGAAGAGCTAGAGTCTGTCGCCAGGGAAAGGGAGGCCTTGACCGCCATACTCAACATGCTGCCACTGCGACCCTCACCAGGGCAAACGGATTTAGAAAGGAACAAACAAAGCTGTAAATTTTCTTGGCATTACTCCTTTCTCTTTGGATGCTACATATTAACTTATTTAAATGACCTGTGCTGGCATATACAATGAAGGCTGGCCTGCCCATGATATGTCCTCTATTGAACCAGACTATAATGTATTAGAAGCTTACAGATCCTTAACATTTCAATATAAAATATAATCAGTGAGTCTCTTTGGCAGGCAAGGCAGCATTGGTTTGGTCATGAATCCCGCATTCCCAGACACCACATGTTCAAGCAGCTTCTATTAGTCCAGATATTATCAGGATTCAGTCCATATTGGACCAAGTCTTCAATTATTGCTAAGGTGTCAGGTACAGGAACCTTGGTGAACAGAGAGACTACATCAAAGCTGATAAGCAAATCATCTGTAGACAGTGAGATGCCCTTGATTAGAGAGACCAAGTCTGCTGAGTTACGTACTGCTGTGGTAGTCTTGCCCGTGAATGGAAGCAAGGTCTCAGACAGAGTTTAAGAGTTTATCTATGTGGGGAGCGGTGGCGCAGTTATTTCAATGCATTATGAACTCGCTGACAGCAAACTTGATTGATAAGTGAAAACGTAACTTATTGTGTGCCTCTGCTATGTTCATTGATCCTTTATTAATTACTTGGTGAAGTGAGGAAGCAGATGAAAGCAGCCAGGCATGTTTATGGACACCCCTCCACCTTTTTACCATGCTATTGTGTGACAGTATCAAGTTTGTATTTGCTGTAAAGTATATAAAAAATCAAAACAATAGTTTATTTTAGTTTTTATAAGCATGGAAATAGTCAGGAAATTAACACAGCACATCCAGCTGAGTTTTGGGTAAATATTCATTTTGAAAATCTTCGGGCGTCCACGCATATTTATGACCATTTGTGCTCTCATTGTGTGCCTTAACAGCCCGTGTGATGAATTGGGGAATCTTTTTCCCTATATCATGAATATATGAATCCTTATAGACGTGTAAGTCGTGTGTGACTGTGTATATATGCATTCATCTGTGCCTTGATACTGAAGCAGATGGTATTGACATTTTTTTTTCTGTCTGCAGCTGACGCTTCCTCTGCAGAATTGGTCTGATGGAGCAAAGGCACTTAGCGCAACTCGGTCAAAAAAGGCAACAATGTGACCAGTATGCAAACAGCATGAATTGTACTAGAAACTTGATACAGCGCCAGAGAACACACACTGGTGAGAAGCCCTTCAAGTGCACTGTGTGTTGGAAGTCATTTGCATGGTCAACACATCTTCGGATCCACCAGAGAACTCACACTGGAGAGAAACCATTCAAGTGCAGTGTGTGTGGGAAGGCGTTTGCATGGCCAACACATCTTCAGATCCACCACAGAACACACACTGGAGAGAAATCATTCAAGTGCAGTGTGTGTGGGAAGGCGTTTGCACTTTCATCAACTCTTAAAAAACATCAGAGAACACACACAGGAGAAAAACCTTTCAAGTGCACTGTGTGTGAGAAGGCATTTGCACGGTCATCAGTTCTTCAGACCCACCAGAGAACACACACAGGAGAGAAACCCTTCAAGTGCACTGTGTGTGAGAAGGCATTTGCACAGTCATCAGTTCTTCAGAGCCACCAGAGAACACACACAGGAGAGAAACCCTTCAGGTGTACTCTGTGCGGGAAGGCATTTGCACAGTCACCACATCTTCAAAGACACCAGAGAACACACACAGGAGAGAAACCCTTCAAGTGCAGTGTGTGTAGGAAGGCATTTTCAAGTTCATCTACTCTTAAACAACATCAGAAAACACACACAGGAGAGAAACCTTTCAAGTGCACTGTGTGTGAGAAGGCATTTGCACGGTCATCAGTTCTTCAGAGCCACCAGAGAACACACACAGGAGAGAAACCCTTCGGGTGCACTGTGTGCGGGAAGGTTTTTGCCGAGTCATCACATCTTACAATACACCAGAGAACACACACAGGAGAGAAACCCTTCAGGTGCACTCAGTGCGGGAAGGCATTTGCAGAGTCATCACATCTTAAAATACATCAGAGAACACACACAGGAGAGAAACCCTTCAAGTGCAGTGTGTGTGGGTTGACATTTTCAGATGCATCTACTCTTAAAAGACACCAGAGAACACACACAGGAGAGAAACCTTTCATGTGCACAGTGTGTGAGAAGGCATTTGCACAGGCATCAGTTCTTCAGAGCCACCAGAGAACACACACAGGAGAGAAACCCTTCAAGTGCACTCTGTGTGGGAAGGCATTTGCACAGTCATCAAATCTTCAAAGACACCGGAGAACACACACGGGAGAGAAACCCTTCAAATGCAATCTGTGCGGAAAGACATTTGCACATTCATTATCACATCTTCAAAGACACCAGATAACACACATGCATCAGACGATTTCCAAGGAATGGAGTCTGAAATATTCTTGTGAAAGTAAAAGTGCTGCCATGAGCCCATCTCTCATGAAACAAGAACCAGAAGAAAATCCCAGCTTGGACACTTTGAAAGGTATCAAGGTGAAATATGAAGAGGTGAAGGTGAAATGTGAAGAAATGACAGTGAAGAATGAAGAAGTGAAGGTGAAATGTGAAGATGAAGATTCAACTCCGAAATCAGACCTTTACATCGATGGAGGCAACGTGAAACAGGAGGAGAATTCTGAGGCAGAACGAGGCAACTCCCAGCAGTTTGTGGACGTGGAGGTGTGGCTGGACTTCTCAGATAATACAAAGTCAAATGAAGTCCCAGTAGATGTGTAAGCTTGAGAAAATGAAGCTCCAATAGATTTACCTTTGTCACAGGCCTTTAATGAAAATAACGTGAAGTTGATCACTCAATTCCTAGGTTCAACCTGCAGAGTAAGAGCGGCCAGTATTTATGGACCTGTGGGTTGGGTAGATCTCTAACCAGGAGCGAGAGCCAATAAGCTCCCAAGCATTTACTATGTTATAATAATATTTGCATTTATATGGTGCTTAATTAATTTCCTCAGCATATCGGAGTTTTGTATCATATCTCATGACAAACACTCGAAGAGCACCCCCAAGTGGCAGTTGCCCCTGTGTGGCATCAGGTGGCCCTGCACGAGCCTGCATGTGTAATCTCACTTGTGTAATTTGTGGGTAATGTTTTTTTGAATTGGACAAATTTTGACCCTGGCACCAGCATGCAATGGCCTCGTTTTGAATGACAATATATTTTACATCCACTGTTAAGCAGAAAGTGCAGATTTGTAATTAATGTTCCTGGACTATTCAGGGTTGCCTGTCGGATTTGAACCTTGAACCTTTTGCAACAAAAAGAGAATGCACTCCCATTTGGCTTCCCTCAATCTGAATGCTGCAGGTGTAGGCCTCATCCAGACAGAGATCAACTTTCTGTAATTACAATATAACGATTAAGTACATTTTGGTGTAGAAATTACATTTTGTCAATATGCCCATCGATAATTTAGAATTATAATTTAATGAATACTTGTCTGCTTTTGTGCATACAGATAACATTTGTCTATAAGGGTTAAACATTGAATACGTGATGTCAGAACAAAGTGTGTGTTTTGATATTAACCTGTACAGATAACGTGAGAGCTGTTGTCCTTGTGATATAGGTCAAAGGGTATTTTTGTGAATCAGGAAGCATCTGGCTCTGAAGCAACTCATTGCCTTTGAAATATGGAACATAGTCATATCATTCATCAGTTACAAGGCAGATCACTTAAAAGTTATGTCTCTGAGATACATTCTCCACGACAACACTAATTATAATTTGTATGACATTTAATGGATGTTGGCCAACTCGGACTAGAAATGGTTCTTGCTGATTATCATCTGGATTTTTACAACCATTGGTTGAAGAAAGCCTGCCTGCTTTTGAGACATTGTACACCAAAATCGGTCCACAGTTGGCTTGCAATGAATCAATGCTGCAGGATTTATGCACTCGCAGAAGGCCGTGGGATTTATAGTTTGTGGAAATATTCCTTTGTTTTGTGGAGAGACTGATAAATTAAATAGATGCCTTGTCTGCTGATCTCTTTGATATATGTCCATCGATACCCCACCTTGTTTACTACATGTTTACTTAAATATGTTAAATGAGCGACTTCCCCGACATGTCGAATAGAGGGTACTTTATTTCTCACACTGGGCACAATACAGGCTTTTCTTCTTACTGAATATAACTCGAGGCAATAACACCGCTACTAGCTACACGCACAGCTGATCACTCAGCGGGGTTCCCTAGCCTTCACTCGTCTCCGCCGCTGGCTGGCGGCGTGATGATGACAGCAATTGAACTCACGCAGGAGATCTTCCACATGGCCAGTCGACAGAGAGAGATGTCGGTGAACAGCGACACGCCAGGACCCAGGACGCACACGAGCCCCGAGTTCCGGGTCTGCTCCCCCTTATATCCCCCCAGGTGTGGCTAAGCCCCACCTCCAACCACGCCCTCTCGTGGAACCTTCGAGCAGGTTCCCGGAGCATCTCGGCTCACCCCTCCTGTTACCTTTGCTCCAGATATGTCTCCTTCCCTGATTGGCTGTTACCTTTGTGGCTGTACCCATGAAACCCTTCCCAAGCCAGCAGGTATCACTGTCATGTCAGCAGGTGTAACCCTGTCAAGTCATATGTTAAAGCTCCCTCTGGAGAGATCACCTCAAACGCATGACTGGGTTACGTCAGCGCCTTCCTCTGGCTTGTGACGTCATCGACAGCAGAACTTGCCTCGTCCACAGGACATGACGAATGTGCACCGAGTCTTGGAATTTATTTGCACGATCAACAAATCTTTGCATATCTAAAGACAGTTTCAGGGGACTGGCGGTCACGGGGTATTGACACGGGAATTAGGATGGGAAGAGACTAGGGGCCACGGGGTAATGACAGGTTCAGGAACAGACGGGAACGATCTGGGGTCTATGAGTAGGATCGAGAATAAGGGCTTTGGCCAAGTGATAGAAGGGAGCAGGTGCAGATTAGAGCCCGTGAAGGTTCTAGAGAAGGGCGTGGCCATTAGTCCAGGGATGGCCACGCTGGGGATAAAAGGTGTCGAGAGGTTTAAGGCTGCTGTTTGAGTCAGGGTCTTCGCCTGTCAATTGAACGTGTCTTCAATAAAGATCATCACAAGAGCAGTGTCTCCTGGAGTTGTTACAGCTGGTGTCAGAAGGGCTGGCATCATGTCACGGTATAACCGGAGGAAAAACCCACCTGAGGCACATGAGGGCATGAACCAGTGGCCTCGGGTGGTGGCATGGGCAGGTGAGCCCGTGTTGGGTGACGCCTCAACAGCCCAGTCAGCAGGGAGATGCCGACAGAGAAGGATCCAGAGCTGGTGAAGGAGGTGGTGGCGGAAGTGCAAGGCTATCCTCGGTGGCGAGGGGAGACCTCGACGGTCTCGAGGTTGGTGGCTAAGGGGGGTGGTGACCTCTTCGTGGCGGGGACAGCTGGGACACATCGCGCGGGGAAAGCCGAAGTGATGCCCGACCAATGACGACATCACTGGCATCCACCTTTCCACCAACGACCGCTCCACAGCCACGGCAGGCAAGTTGCAGCACACTAGACACCCAGGCCAAACAAGCCGCTTGGGCATGCAGTTTATGGGTGTGTTCAAACATTCCACGTGGCTATTTGCAGTAACTAAAGGAGAGCCGACACAAGGTTGCAGGAGGTTCGTATTTTATTATTTCCCCAGTCCACACTCGTCCCCAGCCTTCTCCCTCCGTTTTCCCGCCAGTCTAATATCTCCTCACCTGTTCCTTTCACTGTCCCACTGTCCCCCTCTTTTTGGTGGGAATCCTTCCCCTGCCATCCCTTACAACTGTTTGCCGTTTTTGGAGGAACCCCGAGGGTATGAGTCTCCTGGCTCTGCCAAATGGGATTTGTCCAGGAGACGTCAGATGCCTGTACCCCTGGAGCTTCCGGCATACACTTGGTTTGATATTTAAACGTGCTTTTGCACTGCCGAGAGCCCCCGTTGGATGCTGTTGTGGATACGAGTCCCATTAAGGGAATTGCTGATTGGAATCGGCCTTCATCCGATGGCATTGCTCACATCCAAAACATCAGCGCTAATGTCTGGAACTATCGCAGAGGTGGGGGTTGGTTTTTCCGGCAACAAGGTAATGTTTACACTCATGGTGCACTCATTGGTCACTCTCACACAACACTCGCGTTTTGCCTGTCCCACTCGCTCCACTTTCAGTCTAACATAGTACTCACTCCACCACTCAAACCTCCACTCAACCATCCACTCCACTCAGTGTCTGAGCTGGTAACTCCACGTGACGACGTTGGCAGGAGACGCGCTCAGAATGGGGGTTGCGGTGATTACCCCGCTCGTGACGTCACCAGTCAGGGAGTCAACTCCGTGGATCTCTTCTGCCACTCACTGTGATCGGAGCTGCGATGTTTGCGCCATGATTGTTATTGTTACTCTTGTTTACCCTGGTAATAATCGAAGGTTTTTTCGTTTGATGGGATCTCAATCGAGTAACGGCTGTGAAAGCGATGTCCAGGTTGTAATATGAACACAATTGCAACGTGGGGCCTAGCCAGTCAGGGCTGTTCTGCAGCCACTAACGCTGTTATTGTCTTTGATTCTCGTGTAGTTTGTCTTCATTTGTCTGATTAATTCACCGCAATTCCATGGCCTATCTATGTAGGTGCAATGCCCACACAGCCCCTGATTCGTCTTCCAAAGATTAATCTGCAAATACTGGACATCTTTGAAGAAGAGCTTCAATAGCTCATCGGATTCCTCCA